AATACGTCAAAAAATCCAGAATTTAATCTAAATTTACCTAAAAACAATAAAAATTAAAAAAAAACATTATTTATTAAAAACAATTATAGTAAATTATCATTATAATTCATACTACAATTAATAATAATAATAGTATAGTTTTATACATTTAAGTGCAAAAATAAACAGCAATTCTTTTGACACATTACAAATAATAATAGCATAAATTATAAATTTTTGTCATCGATAATATAAAAAATATTTTATTATGTTATAGTTTTAAATAATTTTCGTTTATTTTTGATATTTATTTACTTTTATACGTATAAAAATGGAAAAATTTAGTGAAAAATTAACACAATAGTTTTATGATATAAGTTGATCATTATACAGTTTGAATATTACTTTTCTTAAGATATGATTTACAAAATATATTCTCTTGTTTTAATTCTTGTAATTAATTTTTATTTTGGTGATGTCTTTGGAAACACAATTTTAATTGGCCAAGTAATTTGAAAAGTTTATTAAGTGATAATTAATTTAACTGTATAGTTAAGATACTTATTATTTAATGTCCATGTGACATTTGTTAGTGTAAAATCTCTACCTAACACTTTCTTAGAACTAAGAAAATCATCAAATAATTTTCTTCTTCATAAGTACATTAAATTATTATTTTTGAAATAAATAATTTTTTATGTTTATTATAATTAACAATGCCAAATTTGTAGTGTAAATTATTAAATCTAATTTTTTTTGTATAGGAACCTGCCATACATATTATAAATATGAAAGAGAAAACGATTTTTGTAAGTATCAAGCATTAATAGATTTATTTATTAAAATTTATGAATTAAACTTTTGAAATTAAAATTAGTACTAATAACATTTATTGGTTATATTACAGAATTATGACGCTAAAATGATTACTAAGTCTGGTTGTTTAAAATCTTCAACAGTATGTTATTTTTTTAAATTGTTACTACTTGTGTTGTGATATCATTTTGCAATGTTTAATATAAACATTATGTTATAAATTTTTTTTGTATTTTAGGTTCTACAGTGTGGACCTTTAGCGATCGTAAGAATTTATTTTATGCAAAAATTACAATTGATTATATCAATTCATT